TCTTGCTGTACAGAGATTATTAGCTCATTAGGAGGTAACTATCCAAATCCTTCTTGGACAGTCCTGGTTTTGACCTTCTAAAGAACTTTTTGACCTGTATAAGTAACAGGTGCCAGACCAGCTCCCAAAGACAGAGGTGCAATGATGCCCATGAGGTGGCACAGAGCAACTTTGCTCTGGGGGACATGATGTCTAAAAAAGACATATTTTTTTGAAATGTCTATGTGGCTGACAGTGAGTCAGGACTCCTGAGTAATCTCATTGGCCTTCCCTTTACAACTTTTATGTAATTTCTTATAAGTGCATTTGCCTGTGTTGTGTTTGATTTTCCTCATCACAATCAATGTCCATGTGTTGTAAAATAGAAAGGTTCATAGCATCCTCTTACCACACAGCAGGTCTCAGGACACCTCAGTCAAAATACACAAAGTGTTTTCAGGTCCTGAAAAGGTCTCTGGCAGTTTGCAACAGGAAAAAAGTGCAGGAACGCCAATGATACAGTTTCTCTGCCTTGTACTTGGCGTCACTGGCATGTCCGCGTTAGGGTACAGGCAATGTAAAGCACCGTGAAGGACTTGTCATCACCTTTCAGGGCTGAAGGGAATGGAAAAAGAACTGGGTTTTCTCGAACTGCAGAGCTTTTCTCAGGATGATAGTGATCCCCTTGGTCTCTTTAGAGGGGTTCAGTGTGTCTCTGAGGCTCCCATCCCCATGACAGCAGTACACTGCAAGTTACTACTAGCTGTGACCTTGCTTGGCTGGCTGGTGGAAAAAGGCATATTTTCTGAATACTCCTATCTTGCAAAACATACAAGGTCTTAGAAGCTTGAAAAGAGATTAGCTGAAGCAGAACCTTAAATCCTGAAGCCCTGGAAAAAAGGCTCACCGAAGCATTTGGATCAGTGGTGGCTGGGGACCTCTTTTACTGTTTGAGATAGAAAGGACAGTGAAGGTGAGAGTGCAACTGCAGCAGCCAGGAGGGAGAAGCAGAAGTGTATATCCTTAATGTATAATACAAGTCAGAAAAAAAAAAATCAACAAGAAGAAAATTTTTATTTATCCTACATCCCCACTCAGCATTTTTGGAAACCAAATTTGAAGGGCTGAGACTGTGCTGTTTTGAGCACTGTTGCTGGCTACCTATCCTCACAAAATTTGAAGAAACAAAGTAAAATCCTACTTCAGTGAATGTCAGGAGTGGTTTTGTGACCTAAATCCCCAGAGTCAGGATTTTGCTCAATGAATGAGCCCAAAGAGCCTAGAATAGTGGATAAACCAACAGCAAGCTTTTCCTCTTAATTATCTCTTTCTTTGCCTGAAGTTTTGGGGCCAATTCTGAAGGTTGCTTGAACAACATGGGCACCACCTCAGGTGAACAGACACTGAGCTGTACCAGTTCATTTCTCAGAAAGCTTTCAGGGATGGTTCGATGGGGAAAAGTATTATACTGGTTTATTGAGGCAGGACTAAGTGATGTGGTAACAGAATGAATGAAGGAGTAATTGGTTGAGTAGTCAGAGTTGGGAGGTTGAGCCTTGCAGTTAACTTATATCAGAGATTAACAGATGCCAGCTTTGCCAGGAAATGAGCTATCTGAGCTGAAAGACAAGTGTCCCAGGATACAGTGAGGACCTTATCATTCCTTGGATGACACTGCCCACAGAAACAGATGTGTCGCAATCACAGGCAGCTAAATGGGATCAGGAAGACACTGGAGTATGCAGAAAGATAGCACAATATTTGTAGTGAACTGCTGAGTGCAAAATCCAAGATTTCACAGAGAAATCTGTGGAATTTCTTTGTTCCCCTCATCCTTCCCTCCCATGGGGAACTGCTGTTGCTCCTATCCCATGGGAGAAGATCTGACACAAAGAGAAACCTTATGTCAGTGTCCTGTAGAAATGGGCCTTCAATAAAACTCATGTTCCCCAAACACATGAGGTCTGCACACTGAACTTTTCTTGACTGTGAGCCTGCCCAAAAATTCCAAATTTAAAACATTATCTGAGAGTGGATGGACAAGCTTTAAACTTCCAAGGAGATTTACTTCTGGTGCTAAGATGGGCACATTTCAGTGTGCTGCTATTGGCACCCAGAGAGATGATGAAGAGAAAGACACAATACTTATGGCCTTTGTCAGGTTGGGGGAGCATCTGCTTCAGTCCCAGCTCTATTACTCCCCAGGGAATAAAACAAAGTAATGCTCTTCAGATTCAAGTATTTAACTGCTGTTCCGAACATTCCAAAACACGTGAATCCAAGATTTCAGATCTGTATTGACAGGGCTGCAAGGAGAACATCTACTTTGGTTAAAGTTTATTGGAGTTAAGAATTTCAGGTGATTGAGGCAGTTGTTCAGATTTTGAGGAATTCATCCTTACTTCTGACGGTGAACTAGATGTCTTGAATTTCATATTAAATGCATCTAGAGCCAGAAGACCACAGAAAATGTCCACTAGATTTAGCCCTAGCAGTACCACCAAAGTCCTGAGCGGAGACAAAAAGAGATGGTGGTCATGACACCCAGTGTCAGTCTGCTGGAGGAATTCCCTTTGACACAGAGATGAAGCCTAGCAATCACAGATTTTGCTAGTCATGCCACAGGCAGATAAACTAGATGTATGTGGGGCTAATGAGGCAACAACTTCTGTGAATAGAAAGCATTTTTCTTCTCTAGAAAAAAAGAGAAAATGAAAATTGGATTGTATCTATTTTTAGGCAAATTAAAAGGTGCCTCAAAAATAGCTCGAGCAATATGAAAGTGGAGCAATTCCTCAAGTTCTCCAAGAATAAAGGAGGTCAGGAGACTCATAAGCCAATTTTTGAAGTAGCTGTGAATGTTTCATTTTTACAACCCTGTCTGATGTGTGCCTGCTTTAAAACATATTGTGATGACAGCAGAAGCCTGCTCCTGCACCCTGAATCCATGGGGTCCTTCAAAGGCAACCAACCAGCCTAATGTAAGCCTAGTCATCCCACAAATTCGGTTCCGTGTTTTACGTCCTAAACATTCACCATAAGCCTAGCCAGCCATTGCCACCCACTGTGACACAAGTCTTGTGTCTCCCACTAAAAGCAATGAGATTTATCAAGATTTGTCACATCTCCCTCTAAAAATGACTGTCCTGAAGGGTGCCTCTGTAGGAAGTGTACTTTGGAGGCTGTCTGCCTTTGGCTTTTACCCTGATTCCTCAGGTTTCGTCATTAGTAGTTTAAGTTGCCAGCAAACATTGAACGTCTGAAAAAGCATGAGCAGAAGTAAGAGAAGACTTTGGAAACAAGACAGATTTGAAAACTGTTGCCCACAGAGTTTCAGTTAGTATGTTGTGGGCTGTTCAGGTCGGAAGTGAAAGCTGAGGGGGATGTGTGCTCCTAAATTACCCAGGAGATAAGTATAATCTGCTCAGGGAAATGTTTTAGTCACCATCCCTGGAGGTATTTAAAAGATGTGTAGATGTGATGCTTAGGGACATGGATTAGTGGTGGACTTGGCAGTGTTAGGTTAATGGTTGGACTTATTGGTCTTTTACAGCCTAAATGATTCTTTGATTCTGTAATAGCTAAGTAATGCTCGCCTTTTGCCCCAAATATTGAAATAATCCCAGACGTACAATTAAATGGGAACAGCTGCACCAAGAAGAGATGTCATCCCTTTCCCGGTGTGGATAGAGCAAGGCTGTGATGGAGCAGCATGCAAGGAGGAGGCCTGATAAGGCCACTTGTCTGCACATCTCTTTGGCAGGGGGAGGGAGCCGTGCCCCCTGTCAAGCTCTTCTCTGCCAGCCCCTCAGCATGCCTTCTCCAGCGGATCCACACCAGCCCTGGTGCTGGCCTGTGGCCAGCTGGCCTGCCTCCACCTGCCTGTCGCTGCCAGTCATGGGGCAGAGGTGACACTCTGGTCAGAGGAGGGGAAGAGCTGAGACGCTGTGCCACAGAACCACTCTCCCCCGGCAGCGTTATGCAGGTGATACAGCAAAGCAGCAACTGGTGCCAAGCTCCTAGGGAAGGAGGAACTGATCATCATTCCCGGGACATGAAAAGGAAGGAATATGCAGAACAACTTGCAACAGAAATGCAACAGGTTTACATGAAAAACCCACCCTGGTCCAACAGAAAGGAAGGCTGGTGGTGATGGTGGCATCCGACTATCCTCTTGAGGAGAGCCCTGTCTCCTGCCCTGGATGCTGGCCTAGGCACGCGCTTCCCACCCTTCATCCCCCTTAGTACGATTAGGTTTTAACCACTTGCCAGCAATGTGTGGGACTTGGTGAGTGCTGTGGGCATGAGAGGTTGCAACACAAACTTCCCTCTGCTTTGAGATTACAGATCCAAGGGCGAGTAATTCTCCTGCTGCCCCGAAAGCAGAGAATGTGCTTCAGAAAACAGCTTGAATGTCAGCCAGCAGCTATGGGATGGTGCCCCAGGCAGGAGGAGGAGGGAGTCCCAGGAGTGCTCACCTCCTTTGCTGCTGAGGAAACAGGACTTTTCCTTTAGTGGTGCAGAGAAGGCTCTTCATGAAACTGTTTAACCCAAGATCTGTTATCAAAAGCCTAATCACTGTGATGCCCAAAGGGATGCAAAGAGAGATACCCTTATTATACATTGCAGTAAATACCTTCTATTTTTGTCAAGTCCTAATAGGACAGGTGTGCCTTGGTTCCCTGTATAAGTGAGGTCTGTCCCTTCACAAACCCTCCCTGCATATTCCCAGGACTGACATCTTCCACTCCCTCCCTCTTGCTCATTCCCTCTCTCTCAGATGATGCAGAGTGCCAGCAAGTCCCTCAATAGTGTCCTATCTGTCCTTTTTATTCATTGCAGGGTTTATTTTTAGCCTGAAACAACTGCTTCCTAAAAATGGAGTTCCTAATGACACGGGAGCTGGACACAGCTATGTAAGGTATCCAGGGCTTGGCCTCACAGCTTCTCCTGTCTGTCTCTCTCTTTGTTGTGAGTCCAGGACAGCAAAGTTTGCTGCTCCCCACCAGTCTTGCAGTGTTTGGGCTGATCACCAGGAAGGCAGCAGAAAGAGAAACTCAGTTCAAACTTCACCTGAAGCCTTGGTCTCCCCCTCTTCCCAAATCAAGAAAGAGAGGGACATTTACCCACCCTTTGCTGCACTCCAAGGGCACCCCTATGAAGGCAACTTGCTGGATCCTGGCAGGTTTTTACCTGCTTTTCTGCTGCAAGGCAGAAGAGGGACTGAACTTCCCCACTTACGATGGGAAAGACCGAGTGATCGACCTGAACGAGAAGAACTACAAGCAGGCTCTGAAGAAGTATGACATGCTCTGCCTGCTCTTCCATGAGCCTGTGAGTTCTGACAAGGTCTCCCAAAAGCAGTTCCAGATGACAGAGATGGTCCTGGAGGTAAGTGCTGCTGCATGTCCCAGTCGGGATCAGTATCACAGCTCTGGTCAGAACTGGGGAGAGGAGCCACAGGACAGGACAGTCAAACGGTCTCATGCAGGGGAGGCTGAGCACCCAAAAGTCTGTGTTTGTTTACTTGCATTTGAGTTAGCCACTGCCTGAATTCTACAAAGCCCAGAAAAAAAGCCTCTTTTGTGCTCTTCTCAGTTGTTTGTTGGGAAATAGTCTTTCTGGATTGTGTGTCAGAAACCCAGGCAATAGCGAGTAACCTTGCAAACCTCAGCAACATGAACTGAGCTCAGCTGAGCTTTCTCAAATCTCAGCACAAACCTGAGTACATAGCTTGAAATTTTTTGATCCTTCCTCATTCTGTGCAAACCAGTATCCCACTCTTATTCTGGATTCAGTCCTACTTTTTATCCTACTAGGAGAAATCTGCCAAGAAGCCTTATCAAGCCGTGCAGCACACGGGCGCCCTAGCTCCCATCTCAAAATCTCCCCATTGGTGCAGCATTAAATCCCTTTTTGTTTTTCTGACACTTAGTTGCCTGCTTGGAATCAGTCTATACCTGCTTGCTAATGCAACCATTCACTTCTGTGCTAGAAAAAGAGCGTTGTTAATTCTTTTGCGAACGAATCCTCAGTAAAATAAATCATGGTAAAAATTGCAGTGTAGATTAGTAGCATTTTTTCTTGTAGTGTAGCTGTAATCTAGGGAATCATACAGCTGCAAGCCTGGATTGTTAGGTGCCTGTTTCCTGCCACAGGCCTGCAAACAGTCCCTCTTAGCTAAAAGACACATTTGGAAAGAAAGTGCGAATTGCAGAAGAAACACTTAAACTTCATTTATCAGATCCAGAGAGAAAATGCATTGCATCCCTAGAAGTATAGCAAATGTGAATTAGAAAATATGCTTGCTGAGGACTCAGACCCAAAAAAGTCCACTGTCAAGTTCAAGGTCTGCCAACCTCCTCAGCAAGCCTCATGACTGCCTGAAAGAAAGATTTAAAAACTAACAAGATTTTAGTCACTTGTCAGGCAACAGGTACTTTCTGCAGGTGAGTGATCAAATAACATTTGGCAAAGAAAAGAAAAAAAATTATGCTGGAACTCCAGTCGAAATGAGTATTGTTGGTGGTATAATTCCATTGTTATTTAATAGGATAGCTATTTTGTGCTTGATAGGTGGCAAACTGTTACTAGGGACATATTTATAGAAACCTGACAGAAGCATGCCCCATCCCTGGAAGTATTCAAGGCCAGGTTGAATGGGGTGCTTGGAAACCTGGTCTAGTAGAATGTGTCCCTGTCCACAGCAGGGAGGTTGGAACTAGATTATCTGTAAGATACCTTCAAACCCAAGCCATTCTATGTTTCTATGATTCTGTGGTCTGTTGTGTACTGTCAGTTTGAGTCCCCATGACACCTAAACCGATGGTAGCAATCAGACCTATCAAGCGTGTGATGGATTCAATACAATCTGGCTTAAAACTTTTTTTTTTCAGGTTTGGATTCAGCAGTTGATAACATGAGTTTAGGACTCTCATGATTTATTTGGTTTCTGACTGCCTCTCTGCCATGGACTTCTTATGTGACCTTCGGCAAGAGACAGAGGTTTAGATCCACAGGAGACTTTACACAATTGCAGTGCTTCAGTCCCCTAGTGCTCATCTACCAGCTAACTGTGCCACACATCAGCTGGCACTTGTGGCTTTGACCTCAAAATTTCCCAAGCACTTGCAATGCTGATTCAGTGCATGTCTCACAGTTTCACAGTCCCTCCCCTGGACTGGGAACTGCCACAGCAGCAGTCTGACAGCCCAAGCACAGAACAATCTGCAGACTGAACATTTCTTTGCCTTTGTCAGTCAAGGGAATCAGATGGGGAGGGGGTCTCACAAGGCAACAGAGAAGATAGAATATGTCCTATCCTGCACAGGATACAGCCCAGTATGGTGTTAGTGCTCCCAGTTTCTGTACTAATTCAACCATGGGAGCACTCAGGAAAGGAGTAGGCAAGCCAGGTTGTAATCTGCTCTTTCGTGTGATATCATTCACCTCTCTCACCTCAAACCATAATGTGCCACGGGGGTAATTTTCAACTTTCTCTGCCAGAGTTCATCCAGCTGTTGGACTTCACTGCATGTTCACCAGCATAGGGAAAAGGAAAGAAATGGCTGCAGTGGCTCCTTGGCTATGTTCACCTGTGATATGAGCTGCCTGGGATCAGTATCCCTGGAAGCAGTCAGCAACTGAACCCAGCTCTCCTGTAATTTGAGCACATACTCAGAGTAGTGAGCTGCTCTGTGGGCACAGGAGCAGTGACAGGGCTCTCGTTGCAGCCAAACCTGGGGAAAGTTCACTCAGGAAGGCTTTACATATCTAATTTCAGTAGAGGGTTCATGGCTCTGAGTGCTGAAGGTCCTTCACGCCTAAAATGAAGTATCTAAGATGTAAATACTCCAGCCCTGACTATTCCCTGCCAGCTGGCTTGGAAGGCTCCCAGTGCAGGGTGCTGCCTATGGTAAGATGCTCCTTTCTGGGGCACCTTATGTTTTTCCACCTTACTGTACTGACAATTTTCCTGTTGTTTTACAATGAGACATGCTGCTTCCACAGCTTGGAAAACATCATGTCCTTAGCCCCGCTTTCATACAGTGGCACTGGTGTCCATCGTTAGGAGTAATTGGAAGCTTCCATCTGACACACAGGCAGGTGCGGAGCCAAGCAAAGGTCTGAGCTGGGTGGTTGAGTTTTTACATCATGTTGCCTGATGTACATGTGTGTGTGGGCACACAGGAGGAAATGGGCTTAATAAATGTTAAGTCCAGAAAACCCCCAAAAAGTCCACCCTTTCTGTTTCTCCCACCTGCACCTTATAAGAAATGAGTAATCCCAAAGAACAAAGAACTGAAGAATTATCTGAGACACCAAGAAAAGAGCAGGAGAGATCCAGCATGATTTCCTTGAAATATGTAGCTCATCAGTAATAAGATCTGACTGGGGCCTCTCCCAGGAGTGAGGAGCACATGAGGCTCTCTCTTAACTGAGTCCCTTGGTGTTCTACGAGGCTTGAGCTCTCATGGCAACATTTTCTTCTTTCAGGGCACTTCAGCCTCTTCCCTTCCATGTCCCTGCTCTTCACAAAACTTGCAATAGCTTTATTATGTATGACATCAGTGACTCTGGAAAATTTGGTTCAAAAGGGCCAATAGCCAATAAAGTTATTAGGGGAGGCAGCTGACAGACAGACCTGAGTGGAGAGAGGAAAGAATCACAAGGCTATCATATACTTAGGAAATAAAACTGAAAACCTGACAGCACGTACGTAAAGTTAAGCACTTATTTAAGGACTTCACCAAACTATAACTGTGAACAGCAGATTGAGAAGTGATATGATAGGAAACATTTCCTTCCCAAAACAAAAGACCAGCTTAGAGGACTGACTGACACTGTCCAAAGCTCAGGGTCCACACCCACTATCGCCAGAAAAGGGATGATGTCATCAGGCTGATATTACAGTTGGCACAGCACATGGGGGTTTTAGTTCCCTGCACCCAGGTGCACTGGGAACCATCACCAGATTCCCACGCAGCCCAGGGTCCCTTTCTAGACTAGAAACCACCATGAAGCAGTCCTGAGAGCTCTTGCCACCTACACTGCTGGGTGCCACCTGGTAAGGACAGGATCCAGGGACAACTGAGCCCTTCTGGGAGCAAAAGGAGCTCCTCTGTCATCCTTTGTGCATGACAACAGCTCCAGGGATAACAGTGACAGCCCCTCAGGTCCCAGTGGAAAAGCTAGGGGCTGTTGGATTAATCTGTCAGGATAATAGCCAAAGCAACGATTGGAGATGCCTACTGTTTTCTGCCTAGGCTGGAAAAGGGTTGGAGAAGGATTGGTCTAAGAGAACCCAGGGCAGAGATATCATGAGCACAGTCTGTTTCATAGCTCATGTTAAAGGACTCTTCTCCTTTGCTTGCCTTTCTCCTATGACTCCACTCTTCTCCACAGGCTACTGGAAAGCACCTACATCTTGAGCGGGGAAAATCCTTCATACAGGGCAGTGCAGAGGTTGAACCAGGCAGTCCCAGAGTGAACAGTAGCTATTTCTAGTCTGTGGTAGTGTTTACAAGAGCTCTACACACTTCATGAGGTGAGCACAGTGAAGAAGAAGGCAAAACAGCCAAGCAATCACAATAATTATTTAACAGGAAAGTAAGAGAAAAAGCTACTTGTCCTAAAGGGTCTCAGTTTTAATGAAGAAGGGTCAAGAGAGGAAAAGATCAAAGCAGTGAAGCTGAGAAATACCAGTTCTGCTTTTCTTCTGCTCTGTATCTCCCGTAACATACTTTACCCTGTCTCATACCACCACTTCTCAGACCTTCTCCCTTCTTCTCATCTCTGAATCTCCTAAATAGGGAGTTTTGCCTTCCAGTGGGCCAGCCTTTCTCTCTAGGGAATCATGTAGCAAGAATAACAAGCAGTGGGGTTAGGGGCTTTCCCTTTGCACTTGTGAAGCTCTTTCCTCTGCTGAAACTTGCTCAGTCTTGGCTCCCCTGTCATTCTTCCCTTGCCATCTGTGTGCATGTGTAATATCCTTAAAAAAGAGAGGCTCATCAAGTCCAGATATTTTAGTCTCTTCAGTGCAACAGTGACCCTGGACTGAAAGTTCATGGAGAACTGCCCTAGCAAAAACCAGTCTGATTAGCGGTAAGAGAAGGGGTATGTGGCTACTAAAGGTATGTGGCTTCCACTATAAGTAAGCTAATGCAAAAAATAAGGAAGGAAGGAAAAGGAAAAAATGTGCAACAATTACTTTGCCCTTTGAGGCCATGTAAGCAGGTCTCAACTCATCAACAGCCAGCACACCACCGATTTTTAGCAGCAGCACCCAGGAGGATTTCACTTACTGATATGCCAGTCACAAAAACAAGTTACAGAGAGCTCCCTGTTTCACAGATGGGCACATTGACATCCAGGGACAGCTATGTTACTTG